GGGATCTGAGATGGAGAGCTTTGTTGTACCCTGTAGCTGGTACACACATAGCACTCGTGAATCCCCGTACACTCTCACTCACACAAAATCCCAAATTGAGAAGTGTATGCGTTCATTTAGCATGCATTGTGCCAACGTATCCTGGGCTCGTATATCTACATACCTGTGTTGGAGACGAATCTGTTGCGGGTTTGTCCAGCCGAAAAAAACAAAATACCAGTATTAGACTCCAAGACTTGGACCGTCGAACCGACGCAATCTTACAGCCAGGAGGTCATTCGGTTGCGACCACCTCCCAACCTGTATCATCGGTGCTTTCGCAACCAGGAGGTCTGGCCTAAGGTTGTGGTTGCCCCCCAATTGGTATCATCGGTGCTTGCACAACTAAGAGGGTGTGGCCTGACGTTGTGGCTGCCTCCAAACCTTCGCATCCGTCCTTGTACAACCAAGCCGTTTGGCCAAGGTTGGGGCCTCCTCCCAACCCCCCTCTACAACCTGCCCCTACCTTGTGGATGCTTACAACCCACCCACAACCTGCCCTCTGGCCACCCGCGTGCTGCTTTTTCAACCAATGGTGGTCTTGGCAAAGGAACCAATCTTTTCATCGTTGCTATCGCCAAGCGCTTGGCGCACGAAGCTTTTCCAGGGGAATTTTGACGACCAAAGAGCCTTAGTTCGCCTGAAAGCTTTTCATACTGAAAGCTTTTCATACTAACAGGATTCGGAGACGGTTTACCTTCTTCGAGCTAGCTCATTTTCTGGCGATGCGAACTCGCGATGTGTTCAATCGTCATGGGCTACTGATCGACCAACTTCCACCAAGGCCAATCGGTTGGGATCTCTGCGACAACGATAGTAGTGAGGGTAATTCTTTGGGGAGGGACGGAGACGAAGGAAAGGGAAAGGAAAGAAAGGAGGACGAAGACGACGATGGAGGAGGAAACATGGAGGAGTGGAAGAGAGCAAAGGGTTTGAGCCAGATGGTCTTCCCCAAAACAAAGAACGTAGGACTAGGGAAGGACTGCCCAGAGATTCTTGTCAAAATGAGAATCAGCATGATGGTAGCGAAAACGAGGAAGATAGTGGTGAAAGTTCTCCTAAACGAGCTCGATTACAAGGTAGTAGCCTTGGTAGACGCGTGCAGTTTTCTTCTGTTGCTGCTGTTTCTGTCTTTGATTCGAAGGATAGTTTAGCGTCCGCCATGCTGCCCCCTCACGGGATCCCAGTTCATGGCAGATAGAAGTATTTTGTGTTTTCAACCGCACTGAGACTGACGTCTTTTCATCGGTCAGCTGATTAGCGCGGTCGATGTTACTAATAAAAATACACACACATTGTTGTGTTCTACCCCAATTCTCCCTTCTTCCCCTCGCTCCTCGACAAGCTTTCGCTTAGACATGGGTTGTAGTGAAGGGGGGGNCAGGGATTATATATAGGTGTAGTAGTACCTCTTCGGGCTCTTGGATACCTTTTTCTTGCTACGTGTGCGTGTTCTTTAGATCCTCAGATGGCTCTAGCACTTTCGTGACCACGGGCTGAGAGTCTTTGCTAGATTTTGGCATTTAGCAACTGGCATACGGTTTAATGTGAAGTTAACAACAACAACCCCAGAATGGATGGTGGTAGCACTGTCTGACCCCCCCCGCGCCCGCTGCCCTCGGTGCTGTACACCGATTAACCAGAAAGATGACGACGACGAGTGGGTGTTGAGCATCTCCTCAACAGAAAGCTACGGACCCCACGAGAAGACCCTACTGGTTTGGGGGCAGATGGGTGTGTACGACACGAAAGAGAAAGCGGCTGAATCCCTCTGCCCGGACGCAGACGCCGCAGGGTATGTTCGACTCATCCGTGCCCTGGACCACGAGGAGTTACGCGCTTCCTGTTTTGCCGGGAAGGAGTTCTTGGGTTCGCAGACTAGTGCTCTCTACCTGTGAATCGACGCCACGTGTCCGGTGTACTACGCGAAATACGCGCCGGATGAAGACTGCCGCTACCCAGTTGTGTTTAGTTCCTGTGTGCCGCAAGACGTGTCTAGCTATGACCGGATGGCTGGCCTGTGGAAAGTAGGGGCGAATGGCATTGCTCAGGATAGCGGCAATCTTGGCTGCCCCATCAGGGTCCAGACGGAGAAGACTACTCTGGCTACAACGGGCTCCCGCAGACTGCACCCAGTCCGCGTTGTGACACCCGACCAGCCGGTTGTCTTAGTGGTTTCCTCCGACTGGACTGAGGAAAAACACTCCAACGCAGACGAGATACGCGCCGGACAACTCTCGGTTGTGCCGGAAACCCAGGCGTCTGATGTCTCGGACGTCGAGGACACTCCTGATGATGTCCCTCCCCGTGACAACAACAGGAGTGGCCATGCGGCCGGAGTGCCGGGAGCGCAGGTGGAGCAACACTCGACAAATGACGACACCGTCGACAAGGAGAACGCGGCTGCCCCTGCAATCGCGACCGAGAAGACGGCGCAATCTGCGAAATCTCCTCGTGCTGCTTACCCGACCGCAGGGTCTTTTTCAGTACAGCACCCCCACGACACAAGGGGCTCTTCAAACAAGAGGGGACTAACCCAACCTCAGAAACCCAAAAATGCGGGTGAATTGAAAAAAAAACGTCGGGTGGTTCGAGCTCTGAGGATAACAGGACAACACTAACCCAAACCCAAGGCGAAACACGTCTACTGAGTTGCGGTGTTGGCAACGTAACAGAAAGGATGACTGCTGGTGTCTGAGTTTGAGGTCGTTCACGTAGATTTCCAATCTAGCAGGTTGTTGTTCTCAAGGCAGCCTGCGCCGAAACACACTGTAACCTGGCGGTTCGTTCGTGACATAATTGGGGAGGGGCAGGCCCTGCTTTTGTTTATCTCCTTTGCCTTCGTTCACCTGTGGCACAGGTCTTGTCAGAGTTGCCTGTTGGGATCCATCATTGGATTCGGGAATCTGCTGATCTCTTGGGTTTCCGGGGCGTTCCGAGAAAGCACCACGTGGCGTTCTTTTTCGTATGAATGTAGTTGAAGGTGTGCCTAATGACACCAACCCTAGTTTGAAGCTTTGAACAGCAATGCTCTTGACGGAGTGTCTAGGAGTGTCGACGTTCGGGCGTATTGGGCAAATCTTTTCAGCATATGTATCTTGTCTACTCGGGGGGTAGGGGGGGGGGGGG